CTTGGCTCCGCCCCTCCCCGGCACCCCCCCCGCAGCTCAGCAGCCCCTGGCTCCGGCGATCCCACGGACCCCACCCGCAGCTCAGCAGCCCCTGGCTCCGGCGATCCCACGGACCCCACCCGCAGCTCAGCAGCCCCTGGCTCCGGCGATCCCACGGACCCCACCCGCAGCTCAGCAGCCCCTGGCTCCGGCGATCCCACGGACCCCACCCGCAGCTCAGCAGCCCCTGGCTCCGGCGATCCCACGGACCCCACCCGCAGCTCATTAGCCCTTGGCTCCAGCGATTCCAGGGACTCTCGCGGAAGGGCCAGCTCAGCACCACACCCAGCAAGCCGGGAACTCACTCGGAGGTCGTGCTCCTGGTCGAGGACGATTACCCTGCGATTGACGGTGCGCAGCAGCCGCTCCAGAATCAGTTGCACGTGTCCTTTCACCTTCCTCTGAAAGGCAAGTCCCAGGTCTCTTAGCGCGCAGGTCGCCAGGCAGTCACACTCCGCCACACGGAGAGTGCTCAGCCTGCCCCTGTAGAAGGGCTGGCCCCCATGAACCACCTGCATAGGGCACCCTGACTACTGGGGATGGCTCTGCCATGTGCCCACACAACAGCCAGTGATGAACTCATCCTGCATTAACCCAGTTATACTTTTGGCCTTGACAACATCTTCTGGCAAGGAGTTCCACAGGTTGACTCTGTGTTGTGTGAAAAATCCTTCTTTGCCTTCCTTTAAAACCCGCTGCCCATTAATTTCACCAGAAATTATTGTAGGGTTGTGAGGGGGTGTACTAATCCCACACTGGGGCTGAGGTGTTAGCCCTGGCTACCTGGTGGAGGAGACCCCGCCCCCACAGCCCCACTGAGCATGCTCCAGCTGGAGGCCTGCTATAGGGGCCTGGGGAGCAGCTCAGTCCGGGCTGACTGTGGATGAGGGAGGAGGTGCTGCAGGAGCCGAGGGGAAGCTCACCCAGCTGCCATTGCCAGTGAGCGGGGAGCCAGGCCTGGAGGGAGGAGGTGGAGACGGCGACTCTGGAGAGACGGGTAGGAAGGGACTTGTACCTTGGGCACTCGGTGTATTGCGTGGGATTCCCTGCTGAGCTAGTGCGGGTCCGCTCCACCGCTGACAGGGACCCAGTGGAGGGAGCAGGCCTGGGTCCCCTACCCCATCCTTACCAACCCTGCTGGGGCTGCACCCTCCCTGTTGCTATTGACTCTGCCTGCTAGGCCACACTGCTCTGTGCGAAGGGGGCAGAGATGCTGATGCTGAATACTAGGCCTTACTGCCCTTCTAAAAGAGGGTGTTGCTAGTGACTCTGGCTGTTAGGCAACACTACCGTGCAGGAAGGGAGCTTTGTGATTCTCTGGGTGCCAGGCTACTCTGCCCTGCAGGAAGTGGGCATGGTTATTGACCTAGCTGCTAGACCTTACCGCCCTGTGGAGAAAGGGTGCTCACTCTGGCCGCTAGGCTTGACTGCCCTAGCAAGAAAGGGTGTTACTACTGACCCTGACCGCTAGGACACGTGGGGTTGAGCCCCACTGAGGGGCCCCAGAAGACCGACACCCACCCCCCTTGGGGAAGGAGTGGACTCGCCCTGGGACAAGGCAGTCTGCAACAGACATGGCTCCTTCTCAGTGGGTCAGGAGCTGGAATGGGAAGCACCACCCCCCTCCTTTCCTCAAGGCACCCGACAGAGTGACACCCCCAGTACCTCCCTCCACCTGCTAAGAAGCAGATGGAGCCAAGTCCTGGGGAGTGGCACACAGTTCCCAAAACACCCCTTATTGCATCATGCACTGAAACTCACACCAGGGTTTATGGTCCCCGCCCGGAGACTACCATTCTGTCCACCGGCACAGATCGCTTCCCTCACAGCCAGCTGAATCTATCCACAGCGTACGAGTTTTCCTCAATGGGAGACATTTTCACCGCAGTCACTGAGTGGATTCAACAATCATGAATCCTTCTTCATCAATGATGTAGATATTGGGATAGAGAGTACGCTTATTAAGTTTGCAGATGATACCAAACTGGGTGGGGTTGCAACTTCTTTGGAGGATAGGGACATAATTCAAAATGACCTTAGCAAGTTAGAGAAATGGTCAGAGGTAAACAGGATGAGGTTTAATAAAGAGAAATGCAAAGTGCTCCACTTAGGAAGGAACAATCAGTTCCATACATACAAGATGGGAAGCGACTGTCTAGGAAGGAGCATGGCGGAAAGGGATCTAGGGGTCATAGTGGACCACAAGTTGAATATGAGTCAACAGTGTGATGCTGTTGCAAAAAAAGCAAATATGATTCTAGGTGGTATCAACAGGTGTGTTGTAAGCAAAACTCGTGAAGTCATTCTGCCGCTCTACTCTGCACTAGTTAGGCCTCAGCGGGAGTACTGTGTCCAGTTCTGGGCGCCACATTTCAAGAAAGATGTGGAGAAATTGGAAAGGGTACAGAGAAGAGCGACAAGAATGATTAAAGGTTTAGAGAACATGACCTATGAAGCCAGGCTTCATGAACTGGGCTTGTTTAGTTTGGAAAAAGGAAGATTAAGGGGGGACATGATAGCGGTTTTCAAATATCTAAAAGGGTGTCACAAGGAGGAAGGAGAAAATTTGTTCCTCTTGGTTTCTGAGGACAAGACAAGGAGTAATGGGCTTAAAGTGCAGCAGGGGAGGTTTAGATTGGACATTAGGAAAAAATTCCTAACTGTCAGGGTGGTCAAATATTGGAATAAATTGCCAAGGGAGGTGGTGGAATCTCCCTCTCTGGAGATATTTAAGAACAGGTTAGATAGACATCTGTCAGGGATGGTGTAGACGGAGCTTGGTCCTGCCTTGAGGGCGGGGGGCTGGACTCGATGACCTCTCGAGGTCCCTTCCAGTCCTATGATTCTATGAACAGTACCTGCAGGGGCCCAGGTCTCAGGGCTCTGTAGGGCTCTCCCGGGCTCCTCCCGCCCCACTTCCTTCCTGCCAGAATGCCGACAAAGGGGAGGGGAAGGTTGGCTGGGCGTGAGCAGCACAGCACAAAGAGCACTAGTTACGGAAACAGGTAACTTTCCCTCTTCGAGGGCTTGCTCATGTCCCTTCAGCACAGGGGGCTGCAAGCAGTGTTGCAAGGGGGTGGCATAATGGGATGTGAAGGGGGATCGTTGCTGGGCAGGTGTCCTGGGTGGGGACGTGAGCGAGAAAAGCCTGAGACGAGGTTTGAGCCCTAGTCAAACAGGCCCTGACCACCACGGGCGGCTGGGCCCTGCCAGCTCCTAGCATACGCAGATGCCAGATGTGACCCAGTGGGGAGCCTGTAGGAAGAGAACGGGGAGCCCTGCAAATGCTCAGCACAGGCCACAAAGATCTGGGTGGACTTGTGGAAGGGCCTTGTCCTTGCCAAGTAGCATGTGAGGGCCCCCCGACATTCACTGGGGGTGTGTCTAGACTACACATCTCTGTCAACAGATTAGGCACATCGAAATTGCTAATGAAGCAGGGATTTAAATATCCTGAGCTTCATTAGCATAAATATGGCTGCTGCTTTTTTTCTAAATGGAGTTTTTTCGGGAAAAAACACAGACACGCACACCGGCAGTCTAGACGCAGATCTGTTGAAAATAAACCTCATACAGGATGGCTGTGTCTAGACTGGCCAGTTTTTCCAGAAAATCAGCCCCTTTTCTGGAAAAACTTGCCAGCTGTCTACACTGGCCGCTTGAATTTCCGCAAAAGCACTGACTTCCTACTGTAAGAAATCAGTGCTTCTCGCGAAAATGGCAGTCGGGGCTTTTTTGTGCACAAGTGCGTCTAGATTGGCATGGACGCTTTTCCGCAAAAAGTGCTTTTGTGGAAAAGCGTCCGTGCCAATCTAGACGCTCTGTTCCGAAAATGCTTTTAATGGAAAACTTTTCCGTTAAAAGCATTTCCGGAAAATCATGCCAGTGTAGACGCAGCCGATCTGTCGAAAAAGGGTTTATTTTTGACAGAGCCGCGTCTAGACTGCCCTTTTTTTGAAAAACAACTCGTTTTGAAAAATAGCAGCAGCCATGTTTATGGTAATGAAGCACAGGATATTTAAATCCCTGCTTCATTAGCAATTTCGATGTGCTTGATTTGCATCCCTCTGTCGACAGAGGGATGCAGTCTAGACATAGCCCCAGTGCATGGGGACGCCTTTCCTCATTGTCTGCCCGAGGCGGGGGCAGAAAACCGTTCTCAAGATGGGCAGCTGAGACTGTCTGGGGAGGAAGGCTGGATGAAGCCAAAGCTGAAGCACCTACCCTTCAAGAAGCAGGTGTGCGGAAGCTAATGGAGCTCTGCCCCCCCCCCACCCGGAAGGCCACGCTAAAGGAGAGAGAAGCTGCAGCGAGTGGTCCCATGGGCCATGCCAAGACGAGGCAGTGGAAGGGAGGAGTCTTTGCAGACCCTTCAGAAACAGAGATGAGATTGGGTGTGGGGGGAGGAGACCGAGACCTTAAATCCGCAGATGAAATGTGGAAACGGCAGCCGGGGGACCCGGACTGAGGCTACAACTAGACCCCGCTGCTTCAGGTGGAGAAGACAGTCAAGAATTTCCAGACAGGCTGTGTCTTTGCTGCGCCCATGCCGTCACGTCAGTCGAGCATATCTCCTTTTGAGGAGTACGCTACCCTCTGCGTTTCGTCTGCACAGGCCTGCTCCGGGAGGTTCAGCCACTGAGGAGCCACGTGGCAAGGAGACGTGGCTGGCAGGCTGGGGGCAGAAGGCCCCCATTATCCTGGGACAAAAGGTCCGGAGGGAGGGGCAATGGGCAGGGGCACAGGACACTAGGCTCATGCGTGTGCCAAACCAGCACTGGAGGGGCCAGGCTGGTGCGATAAGAACCCGTCGCCCTGTCCGGTCTGATTTCCTGGAGCACTCCGCTGGCGAGGGGAGATGCACAGAAGGCTCTGATCACAGGAACAGGAAGGCATCTAGCATGGAGCCCTCCTCGAGCCCAACCAGGAGCAGAATTTGCTACTTCTCGCGATCTCCTTCATCGTGAACAAAGCAGCCGGTAAAGAGCTTCAAAAAGATCTCACCAAACTGAGTGACTGGGCAACAAAATGGCAAATGAAACGTAAAGTAACGCACATGGGAAAAAATAATCCCAACTAGACAAACAATATGATGGGGACTAGCTGGGGTTGGTCCTGCCTTGGGCAAGGGGCTGGACTCCATGACCTCTTCCAGATCTATGACTAATTTAACTACAACCACTCAGGAGAGAGATCTTGGAGTCATGGTGGATAGTTCTCTGAAAACATCCACTTGGTGTGCAGCAGCAGGCAAACAAGCAAACAGAAGGGTGGGAATCATTGAAAAAGGGACAGAGAACAAGACAGAGAATCTCTTATTGCCTCTAGAGAAAACCTTGGGACGCCCACATCTTGAATACTGCGTACAGATGTGGTCACCTCCTCTCATAAAAGATCTGTG